ACTCCCTATTGCCCCAACGTTATGATGGAGCAGCTGTTCCCATTTGTCTTAACACTTACCATTTCACCACCTAGCCCTCTTCCCTCACTGAATGACGAACTCTGGGCATTTGAGTTTATAATAATATTTGTGTTTATCCTTTATGTTATGACAATCAGATTCATCTTTCTTGAAAACAGATTGGATGGTGTTGCCCATTTCCTTCCCTCCATCACCAAGTCCCTGTAGGATGAAAGCCACACACCCATTCAAAACCCTCTGTGACCTTCCCACTTCACCTCTTACAGGACTCCATGCACTTGGATCTCCACCTAGCCAGGACTGCCTCCCCCATGAAGCCACACATGATCCCTTACCTGTTAGAGCTTTGCTGCTATAACCCCTCCAGCCTGGAAAGCTTTCATCCACCATCACTTCCAGGGGACTGGTACTCCATCCTTCCAGACCACCTCCCACTTTCCTCTCTCGTCCTTAAATCAGAATGGTTATCCAGAGTAACCTGCATGTCCCTCCTCACTGCTTCTCAATTATCCACAGGCCTAGTTGCGGGCCTCCCTCTCCCACGGTATCATGAGTATCCAGAGGGCAGTTTCTTCCCTTCCCATTGCTGCTACCCCCACAGATCCAGCTGGCTTTGTTCTTAGCAAGCACTCGAGAGAGCTCTTTTGAATCGATTCCCTGGGTACCAGATGAATTTCTTTTTCTTCACGCAGGGTGTGATCTCTAATTGAGTTACCAGACTTTGCTAATGTTCTAGAAGAGCATTAATTTCCTCCAGGCTCTTTAATTAGGCCTAGTGGTCCTGTCCAGGGTCTGCCAGGCTTCAGAGGTTATGGTCTCTTCCTTCTTGGTCTAATCTGGCTGTTTTCTTTCAGATGGCTTCTTTCCAAGGTCCCCATCCTGCTGAGGTATCTTCTATTTTCTCAGATCAATCGATTAATACAAGATGTGCTTACCAGCAATAGTTTATGAGAGGGGAACAGATTTCACCCAAATTGATCACTCAGAACGTGATACTGAGCAACAGCTACGTTGGACAAGTGTTCAGGAAAGGACTCGTACACTGGTTTCTCCACACAGGAGAGCGAACATATGCTAAGTGTATAACACAGTAAAATTTCACAAACCACATACACCTGTGTAACAGTGCTCACTCGAGAATCAGAACATGACAGCACCCGGGAATCCCCTTGGGCTCCTTCCTACTCTGTGAACCCTTCCCTAAGAGTAACCATAATACTGACTTTTAATAGGATAGAATAGTCTTCCCTGTTTTGGTAACTTTATATAAATGGAATCATAAGGTATGCCGTGTTTTGTTTCTTTTACTCAATACTCAGCTTATAAGATTCACCTAGTTTCTTCTATGTAATCCTATCATCCATTCTCATTGCATTACACTACTATTCAACTATGTGAATATACCACCATTTATTTATTCCTTCTGCTGATAATGGACATTTGTTTTGTCCCCCCAGGTTTTTTTTTTTTAAATGGTAGGCATTGAAATGTTTATTGTTATTATTTTTTTAAATTTTTTATTTTTTATAAACATACGATATATTTTTATCCCCAGGGGTACAGGTCTGTGAATCGCCAGGTTTACACACTTCACAGCACTCACCGTAGCACGTACCGTCCCCAGTGTCCATAACCCCACCCCTCTCCCCCAATCCCCCTCCCCCCAGCAACCCTCAGTTTGTTTTGTGAGATTAAGAGTCACTTATGGTTTGTCTCCCTCCCAATCCCCCCATCCCCCCAGTTTTTGACTGTTAAGAACATTCGAGTCCATGTCCTATAGTAAACACACATATGCATTTCTGCTGTGTGTATTCCTAGGAGTGGAATTGCTGGGTCATGAATTAGCATATATTCAGCTTTGGTACATACTGCCAAAAAGTTTTCCAAAGTGGTTGTTCCTCATTAATTTTTAAGATTTATTCCTTCTTTAATTAATTCAATCAATAATGACTTAACACCTGCTTTGTGCAAGCCATTGTGCTAATTGCTGGAGAAAATATAAAGATGGATAAGAACTAGTCATGACATTCACCTATTTTAAAACTGTCAGAGGATATTCATTGCCCGTAGGAAAAAATCTAAATACATTATCTTGGCACACAAAACACTCACTGATTCAGAGTCAAGTTATTTCATCAGGGTCGGTCAGGTCATGCAAATGAATGCAGAGAGCTGGGTGAGGAGTATGGAGGAATAAAGCTCACTTATCCCATCTCCATGGGGCAGTAATTGTGACTGTCACTTGATTACTGGCAAGAAGGAATTTGGACCTATGATTCCACATCTAATGTTTTAGGAGAAGCTGGATATCTGGGGTTGATGTATAATTGTTAATTTTTAAAAGTTGAAAACTAAAAATATTAAAATGCTATGCTGGTCAAACAAAATACAGGTATAAGCAGGGTTTGGGTACAGATTACCAGTTTGCAAACTATGCACCAAACTTTGTTCTGGAACTTTTCCTTTACTCCTGATGTGCCCATGCTCATGCCCCCTCCAATCCCAGAACAAAAACTAGGTCTTCTTTTTTCACATCTCTGGGACTTGTATGTTTCATTCCATTGCCCTAATAGGTCCTTTCCCTTCTCTGGCTGGTAATTGCCTCCTCTTTCTTGTGGCCCCATTCAAATGACAGCATCTGCCTGAAGCTCTCCTCTTTCATGTAAGCTTCCAAATGACCCTGTCACGTTCCCCTAGCCTAGCCATTTGTCTCACCACAATTCAGTGCTTGATCACCTGTCTGTTTTTCTCACTTACTCCTCAGGGCTGAGACCTGAGAGCTTACTTATCTCTGTATCTCCAACATCTGGTTCACAGGAGGGCCCCATAAATGTTTACTGAGTGAACCAACCATACATACTGTGCATCCATTCCCTTTTCCTCCAGCTCAGTCTCTGGCTTTGATGTGGGGATGCACCCTACCCCATTGTGGATGAAGGAACCAGGTCAGAGATAGCAAGAGCTTTGGTGGTAGCTTGAAGGAGAGCAGGAGATTTGATGTCACCCAACTGGATGGGGATTCAGAAAATCTTCCAGTGTAGAGGATACGTGACTGGAGCTACCATCTTGCTACCAGGTAAAGCCTGCTTGCTATTGGAGCCAACTCAGAGGACAGGAGACCTAAAAATGGGAGAGATTGGGTCCTGATTATATCACTGGGGCACCTGAATCCATCCAGGCACTGCCCTGGCCTTTTCAGTTACACGAATCAATAAACGTCTTTTTTGCTTAAAACTTGAGATGAGTCTCTGCCACTGACAAATAAGGTAATGGGTACAGAGGTCACTGAAATACAAAGTAGGGTGTACAAACTTCATCAAGTGTTTACATGAAAATCAGTGTTTATAGGCTGAGGAGTTAGAAATCCCATTTACCAGGAAAATCACAATCATGTTGGATAGATGAAAAGTAGCCAGGAAAGGAATAGAAATGGTAAAGTACAGAGTTGTGGAAATTTATGTTGTGTATAGTGAGAACACATGAGAGGGAGGGAGAGAGGCATGTAGGTGGAGTAGACTGGGAAGACTTCATGGGGGAAGTGGGATTTTAGTCATTTATTCACACACACACACACACATATATGTATACGCGTGTGTGGGTATGTGATGTATACATATGAGCATAGCATGTATCAAGCAATGTGTCACCATTGCACAATACAAAGTATTGCCTCCAAGGACCTGACATTTTAATGAGAGAGGACAGATTAAAAAACAAATGCTCAGACACATAAAATAATTCAGCTTCATGGTGCATAATTTGTAGACGACTAGGCTAGAGCTTCAAATGGTTTTGATTATCCACGGGATTTAGCCATGTGACCTTTGCTCAAATAAATGGCTTGATTTGTACCAGGGGAAATGTATTTGGGGAGATTTGATCAGTAATTCTATGCAGTTAAACATAGCAAGCCTAGAGTGAACGATGGCATAATTTAATAATGCACAACATGCCACGGAGATGCAGTCTGGCTAATAGGAGTGATTAATAACCACATACTGCATCTGCGACTTGCTTTCAGTGATGGTATGGGGAAGGAGGAGACAGAAATTCCCATCATGCTATGACAACAAGGTCTAGACTCTTGTACTTGATTCCATGTCAGGCAAGATCCATGGTGTACATAGCAAGATCCCAAAGTTACCACACACAAATACATACACACACATAATCTTGCAAGATCAAAAAAACCTAAGTAAGCCAACTGTTCTCTTAGTTGGATATGGTAGATGACCAAGGATGGACCCATGGAGTCAGAGAACATAAATTGTATTCCAGTCTCAGCCAGTAAGTCTCCTCCTCATGACCTTTGACAAGTTAATAGATCCTATAAGCCTCATGTGTCCACCCATTCTTTCAGAGAGTATTTATTGAGTGCCAACTACATTTTAGGAAATGCAACAGTAAAAGGATTTTGTGGTGATCATGACACTCTTGGTTTCTGCTCTCACGGAACTTACAAGTCTAGTTGACTAGTCAAGTGCCAATATTCCCGTTTGTTGAATGAGCTCAATGGACTAGATGATCTTCCAAATCCCCCTTTATTTGTAAACCTTCTGAAGTTAAAAGCAGGCATTAAAAATTATAAACTATCCCTATTAATTAACTTTCTCAAAAGCATCTATTTAGAAAATTTTTTTTCTGATTATGAAAGTAATGTTTTCTCCTTGTAAAACTTCAAACACGACCAGAAATGTGTCAGGTAGTAAATGAAATTCTCCACTGCGAATCCCTGTGGTGACATAGGGAAAAATTGAAATTGTTACTGTGTTCAAACGGTCCTAAGATCTACATTTTATTTACAGTTTAGCATTCTCCAAATCATAATGTGTCTGATATTGCTATTGGCAGACAGCAGTCATTATTTGGCTGTCAGTGTTTGTGCATGCCATCAAAGCTTGCAGCAGAGGTGACGGCAGCCTGGAATAAAATCCTCAAGATAATAATGGAGCATGGTTTTAATAAATTCTGTATCAACAATCCTCCTGATGGCACAGAAGACAACACTCTCTGGAAAAACAGAGGTAATGAATGGTTCAGAGATGAAAAATAATGCAATGAGATTTGGACTCTAAATGTGAGAAAATTATAGTAATAATGCCCAATCAACTTGTGTCCTTTTTATTTTCATTTTTTATGGATGTCCAAGAGTGATATTTGATTTTTATACCTAAATTTGTATAAAATTATGTTCTTATTAATTATAAAAGGGAAATTCTAGGTTACCAGAAAACTCTGCGGGGGTTTATCCCAGGAATGCAAGGCTGGTTTGATAGAATAAAAGGGAAAAAATATGATCATTTCAATAGATGCCAAATGAGCATTTGAGAATTCAAAACCCATATCTGATAAAAAAAAATTCTCAATCAAAAATAACTTTTGTAACCTGATAAAGGACAGCTACAGAAATCCTATAGTTATTGTAATGATGAAATTACTTAATAATGAAACATTTGATGCATTTCCCCTAAGATTGTTAACAAGGTAAGACCTGCCTAAAATTACCATTACTGCTTAGTATAGCCGTGGAGATGCTAGCTATTGAAACAGGCAAGAAAAATAAATAAAGGGTATAAAGATCAATATAGGTGATCCCAAGGAATCCAGAAAAACACAGCCAAACTAATAAATGAATTTAGGAAGTTTTCAGGGAACAAAGTTAACACACAAAAATCATCAAATGTGTATTTATACACTAGCAACAATTTAGAAATGAAATTTTAAAAATAAATTCCATTTAAAGTAGGAATAAATTTAACAAAGATACGCAAGACCTCCTCACTGAAATCTAGAAAACATTGCTGAGAAATTAAAGGAGACCCAAAGAAATGATGAAATATACCATATTCAAGGATGAGGAGACTCAATACTCTTAAGATGTCAATTATCCTCAAATCATCCTGAAGATTCAATGCAATTGCAAACAAAATCCCAGCAGGCTTTTTAACTTTTTTGTTAGAAACTGACAAGCTGATATTGAAATTTATATGGAAAGGCAAAAACCTGTAATATCCAAAATAGTCTTGAAAAAGAACAGACCCAGAGGACTTCTACTCCCTGGTTTTAAGACTTACTATGAAGTGGGGCACCTGGGTGGTTAGATCAGTTAAACATCTGATTCCTGATCTCAGCTCAGGTTTCAATCTCATGGTCATGAGTTCAAGCCCCTTGCTGGGCTCCATGCTGGGCTCCACGCCCACCTAGTTAGAAGAAAAAAAAAAAAACTTACTATAAAGCTAGGTAGTAAAGACAGCATGATATTGGCATAGTGGTTGAAACACAGATCAATGAAATGGGATAGAGGACCCACCCTTATGCAACCATTTCATTTTCAACAAAGGCAGAAAAGCAATGGAATGGAGAGATGAAAGTCGTTTCAATTAATTATACTGGAAGAACTCCATATTCATATTAAAACTGCAATTCTTACCTCCTACCATGCACAACAATTAATCCAAGATGTGTCTTAGATGTAAAAGCAAGAGCCAAAACCATGAAGTGTTTGGAAAAGTAAGCACAGAGTTTATAAACAGATCACAAAAGCAATTTTGATAAAAGAAAAAAGATCTTTCGAGTTTATCAAAATCAAAACTAGTGCTCATCGAAAGGTAAACTGAAGTGTATGAATAGGAAAACCACAGACAAGAAAACGTGGTCATAACATATATCTGAGAAAGGACTGGCATTCAGGATGTATAAATAACTCCTTATTACTCAATAATAAAAAGACAAACAACCTAATTAAAAATGAACAAAAGATTGGAACAGACACTTCACAAAAGAAGATCTATGAATGGGCTAATAAACACATGAAAAATGGGCAACATCATTAGTCATCAGGAAAATGCAAATCAAAACCAAAATGAGGTAGCACTTCACATTGATCAGAATAACTAAAATTAAAAAGACCAACAATGTCAAATTTGGTAAGGTTATGGGGCAACTTGACCCTTTGTATATTGTCAGTGGGAATATAAAATGATATAATTAGTTTTTGAAAAGTGTTGGCAGTTTCTCATATAACTAAACATGCACGCTGTGACCTAGTGATCTCACTTCCAAGTGTTGTCCCACAATAAATAAAAATATGTGCCTACAAAAAGATTTGTACAGAAGTGTTCATGGTAGCTTTATTTATAATAGCCATAACTGGATACAGCCCAGATGTCCATCAACAGGAGACTATAGAAACATACTAGAATATTCACTAAATGTTATATTACTCAGCGAGGAACAGGAACACATTACCAACACATGCAGTGACATGGAGGAATCTCACATACATTATTTTGAGTATAAGAATCCTTACATAAAAGTGTGTGCACTAGGGTGCCCAGGTGGCTCAGTGGGCTAAGCCTCTGCCTTCGGCTCAGGTCATGATCTCAGGGTCCTGGCATCGAGCCCCGAATTGGGCTCTCAGCTCAGTGGGGAGCCTGCTCCCCCACCCCTCGCCTACTCGTGATCTCTGTTTGTTAAATAAATAAAATATTTTTTAAAAAGCGTGTGCACTATATAAATATTCAAAGGAAATTCTAGAGCAGACAAACCGAATGTACAGTGGGGACAAAATCAGAACAGTGCCTGCCTCTTTGGGCATGGAGGTAAGAATTTACTGGGAAGAGTCAAAGGGGGTGGTTTCTGGTGGTGATGGCAAGGTTTTGGGGTACACAGATGAATGCATTTGTTAAAACTCATGCAATGCGCTTCAGACCTGTGCATTTCATTTGTACATAAATTTTATAATCAAAACAGAAATAGTAAACAAACATTGAATTCCAGTTACTGAAATCCATGCTGGACTATTTAGAGGGAAATATACGATGTCTTCAATTTACTTTGACATATCCCCCAGATAAGATAGATTAATGGATGGATAGATGGATAGATATGTGATAAAGCAAGCTTAGTAAAATGTTAATGGTAGACTCTAGATACCTGGGTTCACTGTAAAATTCCTTTAACTTTACTGTATGTTTGACTATTTTTATAATAAAATGTCAGCAATGAAAGAACACTTTTGAAAAAGAAAAAATTTCAGAGCAGTCGTTCCCTTTCAGGTGACCTTGTTGTCTCTGAGGCTCCCAGGAGTGTTGGGAACATAACCTATATGTGAATGAGTGCTTTGCAGACCCTCCGGGTTTACCCAGGTTGGTCACTAAACTCTGCAGAACAGGCTGTAAACATCCTTGACCAATGCCTGCCCCACCCCTACCCTGCCCCTCATTCCTCTGTCTCATCCCTAGAACAGCTTTGATGACCACATAAAATAACCAAACAGCAGACACAGACGGCACTTTACAGAACTGGCTTAAAAACTCCCCTATTACATATTTACTCCAAACCCGTCAGAAAGGAGATGGCTGCAGGTCTGTAATGAGGGCTGTTTGAAAGTCGAGTGTTCAGCAAATTTGGCAGGTGGGCACTCAGGGAGTTCCAACCTCAGAATTACCAAGTATAGTAACACACGCACTTCTGCCTGCGGTACCCAATCCCAGCAAATCGCCCTGGGCGCACCCACAGGCTGGGTAGCTGCAGTCTTCTTCTGGAGCCCACATATGCTGAATCACGGGGCTTGTTGGGTTGATCCCACCACGGATGAGTGGGTACAGGGATAAACTAATGCAAGGAGAAACAAAGCGGTTCTGAGGTGCTAGCTACTCCAGTGTGTTTCCATTGAGGGGAAATGGTACTGGCTCCAAGCCCATGAGAGCTACTGTCTGCTTCTGGCTGAAATCAGGGTGGTGGGACAGCTCTGAGAGGGAAGTGGGAGTGGTGGGCTGCATACACGCTTCTCTCTCTCTCTTTAAGATTTTATAATTTGCTTGAGAAAGAGAGATTGAACAGGGGTACGGGCATAGGGGAAAGCAGACTCCAAGCTGAGAAGGGAGCCTGACACTGGACTTGATCCCAGGACTCCTGGACGACGGCCAGAGCCAAAGGCAGACACTTAACTGACTGAGCCACCCGGTTGCCCCTGCATACACCCTCCTCCCTTTTGGGGGCAATTTCCTGCCCCTCTCTTGACCCCAGACCTCCTTTCTGCAAAGTGAGGGTGTTTAGGTTCATTTGATGGTGTCCCGCTTTGGGACCCCTAAGCCTCTGGGGTCTAGTTAGTTTACTCCTTCAAACTTAAGAGACATCATGAGTTCGGGCAGCTCATGCAGCTTGTAAATGCACTTGTGTCTACTCAGTGTGGTCCCAGTGGTCCTCACCTGCATGTCCAAGGTTCTGACTGGCAATTATAGATATCCTTCCTTTTTTAAAGAATTTCAAGATGTACTTCTTTCATTTAAAAAATACCATTAACGCCTTACAAAAATAGGACACAATGTCGAACACCTGGAATGTGCCAGATTCTTTACTAAGCACTTTGAATATATTTTTTCATTTAATTAAACAACCTTCATTTCCAGACATTACTCCCATTTCACAGATGTGCAAGTCGAGGTTTGCGGAGGTCAATGCTTTGCACGAGGCCCTCCAGCTGGTAAGGAACTGAGCTGTGCTTCCTTCCAGGGCCGCATTCTTTCCGTTCTGCTACATGGCCTCCGTTTCCACAAAATCAACCCACCACCATAACGCAGCTATTGTTAGCATCTTGATAAATACGTTATCACACATTTTTGGTTAAAGGCATACATACCGTGCACATCTTCCCTACATTCAAATGTGAGAGTGAGTCACTATTTAGGACAAATGTGAGGTTAATGGGAAAAGAGTGAAGAAAGGTGTGGTGTGTTCTCCCGGTCGGAGAAACGGCTAGCTGGATCGGCTGAACCCCACAGCCTTTGTTGGCCCAGACTGGCTACCGTGTAGATCTACGCGTGCAGGCTGATAAGGTCTGTCTTTAAACAATAGTTGACCTTAATACTTCTCCAAGGACCCTGTTTTATTTCTGGATTATGTTCAGTGGCTCTTCAAATTGCCAAACTGCTTCTCTCCACGTTGCGCCGAGTCGAAGTTAAAGAAGAAAAAACAAAACACCATTCCTCTCTCTATGTCCTTAAATGCCGCGGAGCTCTAT